ATGTTGTTCTACATCTAGAGGAAAAAATTGTAAGTAAAGGCAACAGCATCACCATCCATTCCTTTTTTTTTATTTTTTTAATGTACCTAAGTCTTCTTGACAAACTGAAGTTTAAAAAACACTAACTTAGTTGACACTATAAAACAGCCAAGATGAGAAATTTCTGATGCTTTGAAATATTCAAATCATCCGCTTATAAGCACAACGATTGCACTTTGAGTATGTGTTAAAGGAAGAAAAAGTGATAATCTAGAGCATTCCTTATCAATGGGCCCACCAGCGGCCGAGCGGTAAAGTCGCTGAACACTGGTAGTTCGGTCCGAGGTTCGAATCCCGCGAACGGGCTGGCTGCATGGGCGTTTTCGTGGTTTTCCCCATATGTAACGTGTATACGAGCCAGTTTCCCTTAGAAAGTCCTCCATGAAGGCATCCCCCCTCTTAGGCAGATAGCCCTAGTGTGCTTTGCCATAATTAAAAACACACCACCTTATCAATGGTATAGATGCACAAAGAAAATGTGCAAAAAATGTAGCATTTTATAGCTCTACAGAGTATGATGTTGACATTCTAAACCAAATGGCCAGCTATTTAGTAAAAACAATAAGCTGCAAATGGCCAATGCATGCATTCTATAATATTTATATTAGATTTGGCTGCAGTCAACACTTCATATAATTTTCTGAAGAACCTGAATGAAAGAAAATGCATTTCACATTCTATTTCGAAGTCAGGAATCAAAATAAAATTTTTCTATATAATACATATTAAAGAAATAAATGCAAAAGATCAATTTATGAAAATTGTAGAAAAACAGTGCAAAACAAAATTTACAATGATGCACACTAAAACAAAAACAGTTTGTATTTGTATATGAAAATAAAAATATCGCTTCAGAAGAGATCAATGAAAAGATAGAAAGTCAAATTAATGACAACATTAATTTCTATACACTCTGTAATAAATTAATGTAATTTATAAATTATAGTTTCTCTAGATCATTGATTTTCAAACTTTGCCAACTCATGGAACCCTTAGAACTATAAAAGTTTTTCAGGGAACGCCTCTTGCCTTTAGCAAACTATACCTTAAAATAATATTTAAAGTGGATCAATATGTTATAGGTACTTTACATAAAGAGAATTAAAGAAAAGTATTCTATTCTTTATTACAAAATTTTAACATAAAATTAATGTAAGTTGCATATTAATAGCATTAACTTGTGGCCCAGGTGACACCTACCCTTGCACTTTTTTTACATAAGCTGTCGAAGTCTTGCTCTGTTGATGTTGTCTGTAGCTGCATTTCATTTGTTTGCATACTTTGTGTTTTTGTTGCCACATAAGCTGAGAAAGATTTTTTACTTAAATACGTTGCTGCAAATAGAATAAAATGTTTATAGCTGTGTGAGAAGCATTAAGGTATTCTGCATGAATCTGTAACCAAAAATTTAGGAACTGCTCTTCCTTGACTTTAGATTTTAACATTGAATCTGTTGATAAGTTGTTTCTGCCCTTCACTAGGCAATCTTTTTGATTTATCGCAATACTCAAATTTTTTATTCAGTCACGGTTTTCTCTTCTGGGAAAACTGTGACTGAATAAAAAATTTCTTATAGTTTTCTACAACTGAAAAAGGTGCTCCATTACATAATTTTTAACACTGTTGTCTATTTGTAATTCATTTTCCATTAGAAAACTGTTTATTTTTGCAATGCATTGCACACTATTATCTTTGACATATGTCAAATTTTTATTTTGACCCTTAGAACACAGTTTGAAGACCACCACTCTAGATTAACTATGCATAATTTCATGAATATATTTTGGTTAGATTAAATATAAAGGTACTAACATTATATTCCTTTTGTTTAAATTTTCTTTTTGGATCTCATTGCATATGCTCATTAAAATATGATATCCAAATATGTTGAGAACAAAATTTTAATGTTTAAAAATGTTTTATCATTTGTTGTTCAGAAATGATTCTAAATTTAATAAATTGAATCATTGTTTATTAAAAAGAATACTTAATAAATAAACTGCATTCTTGATTTTAATACAACTCATCCAAATGATGGCAAGAGGGAAAAAAATCAATTTTCTCAATGTTAATGTAAAATGGTGTATGCAGGAAAGTATTGAAATATGAGGAAAATATATTTGATATGATTACAGAATTTTAATTTTACATTTAATGCAGATGATATACATGCTCTCAACCTATCCTAGGATGTTAGATGCCTATAATACTCACCAATACTCATGACATAAAATAATAGCTGTATAATGCTGTTAAGAAGGCCATATTAAAATGACTTTATAAATGATTAACTTAAGATTATATTCTGTTAGACTATACAATATTGGAGACATCTTGAAAGATCCTATTCATTATTGACTGGCAATAACATTTATTTATGTCAAAAGCAAATTTATCAAAATTGATAAAAAATATATCTTTTCAAGATGAGAAAAATATTAGAAAAAGAAAGAATTATCATATTATTATTATTTTACTATTCAGTTAAAATAGTAATATGATGGAGGAAGAGAAGGCAAAAAATGACAAAATATATAAAAGTATAAATTTCTTTTTTTTATTTCTAAGGAGATAAGAAAAGTACACAGATAAGTGTGTACAACTTCCAAAATAAGGCACAGGCAGTACATAGCATTTTTTAAGTAGTCATAAATGATATAAATATAGAAAACAATATTTCCATACAATCTAAATTAGTAAACATTTAACATATTAAATACAAAGGAATATCAAAATGAATTAAATAATTAGCAAAGCAAAAATTTCACCTACAAATAAAGCAAGGTTTGGTTTATATTAAATCAATAAGCCAAACTGAATTTCATAATTATTCTAAAAAAATTTGAAGTAAAATTTTAAAAATTCTACGGATTTTTTTTAAACACTGTAAAATTATTTTCTTCCTCTTACAAAAAATTTTTATTATATTTTTATGAGTATTATTCTATTTATTACATTTCAGTAAATAATTTCATGATGATCAAAAACAATAAATTAGCTATCACAATTTATATGGAAGCTTTCATGACATAAATATGATACTTAATAAATTAATTGTATTCTTGATTTAATATGGCATTAAGCAAATTTCATGATGATAAAAAACAATACAGTAGCTATCACAATTTATATGGAAGCTATCATAACATAAATATGATACTTCAGAATACTTAATTAATTATATCCTTGATTTAATTCGGTAATATGTAAGCCCTATTTTTTATAACTTTGAACACTACATACAAAGTCATATACATATATACACATTTCTTTCATATTGCATCTGAATAATATTACATAACAATAACATATCATAATTTATTAACATCAGCTCTGTCTGACAGGCAACATTATCACATTTAATAGAGAGCTAAAATCCTTTGCAATTTTCATGTAAAAATCTGTATAACTTTAAAAATAACCAGCCAAAATTTTATAAATGAAATGGGACTAGTTATAAATATACTGCACTAAGCTTTCCCTTTAAGATCTAACATTTTCAGTGAAAACTTAAATATTATTAATAATATAAACTTTTAAGAACTAAACATTTAAAAAAAAATTAAATAACAATTTCCAGGAATAAAAACATTAGATTCAATGAAACCTAAGATGATTATCAACGATTTTTGAATAAACAAAAGATTTCTGACATGCTAATTATCAAAATTTTAATTACCAGCATATTATTGAATAACAGAATCAAAATGTACTTTTTATGTTTACAAATTAATATTGCATTAGAATATTATTATGAAGGGAATAATGTTTTCACACAAAACAGAAGTATGTAAAAATATGTGTTTTTATCATGAATAATTTTAAATTTTAGAACAAAAGGAATACATGTAACTTGCAAAAAGCAAATCTTATCGTTAAAATATTTGAGCCTTTTTAATAATCGAACAGTTATAATAGCATTTTAAATACTTTTCAAGAATTCTGAAACTTTTAAAAATGATTATTGTTACTTTCAAGATTTATTAATGAATGTAAGGATGTAAGGAATACTTTTTTCACTTAATTGGCTATTCTCTATTTTTCTACATTTGATATAGGATTGAAATAAAACTCATGTTTACAGAAATACATAATCTCGTAATGAAATCCCTGAAAACTTTATGAATAATGCCCTACAAATTAATACAGATTTACTACAATGAATACCTGTTCATCTTATAGCACAGCAGATTTTTCTTGCACATTTAATTAAAAAAGCAGAATAACAGTTTTCCATGTTAATGATAAAAATCTCTTATAAATTGTAGAATTATTTTAGCATCTCTCTCTCTCTCACACACACACACAAAAAGAGGGAGTGATAAATTCCACCTCTAAGAACATCTAAAAAAATATTAGAATATTTTTTAAAAAAATAAAATATAACCATTTTAACAATTATAACTTAATTAAATAAGTCATATCAAAGGAATTATTTTTCATGAACATTTTTATAAGTGCATAATAAATTAATCTGAAAATCTCATTTGATTCTCATTACTTATATATATTAGTTATATATTATGTCATAAAATAAATTGATATATATATATATACCTAAGAAAGTACAGTACAAAGTCCATAATCCGGACCTCAAAGCCACAAACTTCTGCATGTTCATAATGCATTTACGCAAGCGCGTTTATTGTGCACATTAGCGTAAAGCGTTTACCCTCGCGCTTCCCATAGTGAAGAAAATGACAGACAAGTTATTGAAAACAAAAAAATTTTGATTGACAAGTTAGTCGGTATTCTCGACACAGCAACTACAGGACTTGAACAGTGGAACTTTGTAACTGAACAAGAAATTATGTCTGTTTATAAAATTAAAGAGAAAGTATTAGCACAAAAAACGAAACAACTTACATTGATAGAAATGTTTAATAAATTAAACAAATACATATTAAGCTTTTTTTGTAAATTTTGATACCCTTTACATCATAATTGCTCTTTATTTCGTAAATTACGGTTTCATATTTTTAATAAGTATAATTTCTGCATGCCATCTTACCAGATTTAAATTGATGATCTATAATCTGGAAAAACACCTAATCCGGAATTGCCGAAGTCCTGACTTTGTACTGTAACACAAATCTACAACATTTAAAACAAGAGTTGATCCATTTCACAACCATTCAAATTTGTTGAAAAACTATATTACATAAAATTAATTTTTAAAATCATATTATGAGTCTCATTTCAAGATATTTCAGCTCAAAATCTATACATATGGGAAGTGAATGATTTATTTTTATTTAACTTTTAAATATTAGTCAATGAATTTTGAGTATCAATTATTTATTACTACACATACAGAACAATATGCAACACAGAAAATAGTATATATAGCAGTAAATCCTATAGAAAGAAAAAAAGTGTTTTGAGTTTACAACATTCATTGGAAAATTATGCCATACATTTTTGGGGATCCTGTAAATGACAAAAAGTATGACGTTTACGAAGAGAAAAGGGAATGAATATCAGTTTTAACCAAACAAATTTTAATAACCCATCATTTTTCAGCAGAAATGAAAATGAAACAAGATAAAAATACAATTAACTCCATGAATGGAAAATAAGAGACAGCTTGTAAAAACCTTTACAAATAGGACTGAATTGTAAAATATTAAATTTTTATTATTTATTTTCCTTTTATATCAAAATCCATAACTTACACAGAGATTAAGAAAACTGAAAAATTTGTATTAAAATTTTAATGAAAGTTCATTTTAATGTCTGTTTAATGTACATGTATATATATATATTAGAAGTAACAGTAATAATAACAATAAAACATTAAATACATATGGAAAATATTACATGATGGTGACCAAAATGGCCATTTGGCTATATAAAGTACGAGATCTTTAAAAAAATATTTCAACAATCATGCTCCCAATGTGAGACATTTCATAGTTATAAATTACACTATCAGAAAATGAAATCTCAGAACCAATGAGTTGTGCTACATAAATGAAATTTGGAAAGTGTGCTTGCCATCTGAAAGATCATGTTTATTCATATTTTCCACTCGAGAAATAAGTGCGGCAGTAGTAGCGCTACTATGAATATATATATCTTATTTGTTTTAAATATGAGATGTAAATTTCTTATGCTTTGTTTATCTTTCGGATTGGGTATTGTGGGCATGCTTTCAGCTACAAGAAAGTTGACTTTTTCCCCACGATATTGCAGAAAGAATTGGAAGGAATGTATCCACAGCGCAGCATATGTGCCATCAATCAAAGGGAAGACTGCCATATTTGTCACATGTCTATGAGTCTGCAGCAGATAGTCGAGCTTTTGTTGAGTGACATAACAAACTGTAAAATATTGATTACTTAGTGGCCATACCACTAACTTGAGCACCACCATTTTGTGACTTCGGTGGTGTCAAACTAGAGTTCAGTGAGGGTGGGATGAAGATCAGATGTGTTTGTTCTCAGATGAAAGCTATTTCAGTCTTGGTGCTATTAATGACATTGGTAGACATTGGTTAATTGGTTAGAAGAAGGCCAGGTGATGTCTTAGAACCTGGCTTCCTGTAAGCCTAGTTGTTTGTGGCACAGACACATTAGACTTGGTCCATGAATTATTGCCTGGGAAGAGCAATTTCCTATAACAGCAAAAGCACCTTGGCAACGAATCTGTACATCAGGCTTCTCACTGTACCAGATGACTGCCATTTTGAGCAATATTCTAGGAGGCATTTTCCAACAGGATAATGTTCGTCCTTATACCTATACCACTGCTATCACCCAATGTGCTCAACATTATCAAATTGTTGTCTTGGATTGCGATATCAAATGATCTTTTTCCTATTGAGCCCAAATGGGACATGACTGGACAACACAGCTAGTGTCATCTACAATCAGCATTGAGCACTGCTGATTTCATTGATTAAGTGCAACAGGCATGGAACTTCATCCTATAAAATGAGGCAAAGCACCTATCCAACACGATGAATGTTTGCATTCAATGTCATGGCAACTATAGGCTTATTAATGTTCACATTTCACATTTGAAAAGGTTTTTTTCATGCATACTTTAACCTGTGACCTTGAAACTTGAATCAAACAAATATGTAGTTTAGACAAATACTTTGCTTAACTTCATTTCTCTCAATAGATTTCTTTTTTGGAGTTGGGATTTCATTTTCCATCAGTGTATTTGCACATAAAAATTTAAATTTAAAAATTATTTTCTTCAAAATATCACATTATTTCTCATAAAAACACCAACAAAAAAATACCATAAAGTACCTAATGATATAATTGCACAAAATACTTCTAATGCTACCATTAAAAACATCTCTCCAAAATTCACAAAACTGGCACAACTGTTGGCAATAACACACACTTACAATTATGAATTTTAAACTATGTCAAGTTTATGAAAGATAAAATTTTAAACCCTCACTTTATGACACAAAAATCAAAACACAGCAGTCTCAGTTATCTGATTTAATTATAAAATGCCATCACTTTGGTTTTATAAAAAAAAAATTTCCTTTTAAGTTGTTTTAAATTATAAATGGATTTACAGCATAAAGATACTCAAATTTTAGCAGATATATTTAAAGAAATTTTCTTAAAAAGAATGTATGTATGCAGGGCTAGATTAATGATTAAGCAAAAGAGCATTAAAGAAAAGAGGCACACAAAAATTTTCCAGTGCCAATTTTAAATTGGCATACATGGTGCAGGGAAACCAAGATTGAAACAGAAGGAATGGGTAGGGGGAAGCATAAATTTATATGGGAGCATCAAAATCTTTCAAGTCCTTAGGGCAGGGGGCCAAACCATAGCACATGTGCCAAATGTAGTGCACTGGATGATTAGCCAATGGATGGCGTTTCATTCGGTTCTAAATGAGCCATTGTGATGTTGAGTTTTGAAGCAATTTGGTGTGTTTTTTTTTAAATGTTGTGTGATATGATGTATGTGATTGTGAACTATATGTACTTTTTCAACATTTTTTAGAGTTTTTTAAAATTCATTTTATCTATTACAGTGCAAAATAAAATTATCAAGAGAAGCATAGAAAATGATAGTAGGCATGGATTTAATGAAAAGTGGGTAAATGAGTTATTATTTATAGCAAATTCGTCAGGAAAACTATTTTGCATTCTTTGTGAAAGTACTTTTTCACATAACAAAAAACATGATCTTAATAGACACTATAAAACACAGCATCTGACTTATATTGAAGAAACAATGAAGTTTATTCTTGGACCTGAGTTGTGAATACTTAGTGATGGCAGAAGCATCATACGAAATTGCTTTAGCATTGGGGGGGGGATTCTGATTGAGAAGAAATTGTTAAACCTTGTCTTCAAATATTTGCACACCATCTTGATAATTAAAGGGACTGAAAGGAAAGCAGATGAAATTGCCGTATCAAGGCAGACAGTTATGAGATACATTGAGAAACTCTCCCAGGATGTATTCTAGCAACTGGAAGACCTTGTCTATTCCTGTACTTTCTTTTCTCTAGCTTTGGATGAATCAGTGGACATATTTGATCCTGCACAGTTAAACACTTTTATAAGAGGAACAGATAATGATTTTAATGCCTTTGAATAATTTGCCATTCTGTAGCCACAGCATGGTAATATAAGAGGATCAGACACATTTGAAAAATAAAATCATGCCTAGAAAATCTAAAATTAGATTGTAGCAAACTCATACTACTGGAGCACCATCAGTAACAAGTTAACTCAATGACACTTCACTTGATAACTTCGCTTTATATACTAAAATATCTCCACATATCATTGTATCAAGATGCAATGTTTACCAAACATTAAATATGCAACATGTTATGTTATCGGTTCTGAAATGTGGGAATAAAATTAGAGCAAAGCCATTAAACAGATGAGAATTCAGAGAATACTGTGAATTGTTAAGTCTGAAATATGGTGATTTTAACCCTCACTGTGAAGTATGCAGGCTTTCTAGAAGGCAGGTTCTGAGTAGATTTTGAAAACTGAAGAATGCTGCTTCTAATTTTTTCAAACAGGAAAACAAATAAGCCCGATGAAAGAACCCTACTATTTGACAACAAATGGCTATATGATCTGGCATTTTTAGTTGATATTACTAGTCATGATCTAAATTTAAAAGAACAAAGCAAGATTAGATTATTTCCTAACTTAGTAAATCGCATCAATTCATTTAAAATGAAATTAAAACTGTTCATCTCACTTTCACTAAGTGAACAAAACATAATGCAGATGCCTAGTAGCATACAAATCGAATGATTGATTTAAAACAAATTTATTCTTAAAAATGAAATTTGATGAGCTTTTTCCAGATCAAAATGCATCTGATGTAATTATTTTCTGGCATTCACTAGTACGTGAATGGCCAAGAGCTACAAATATTTGAAAAAAATTATATATGTTGCTTTGCAATGACATACAGATGCGAACAAGTATTTTCATCAACATACAGATGCGAACAAGTATTTTCATCAATGTAATTGATTAAAAGCAAAACAAGATCCTGAATAACTGATTTAAATTTGAAGAACTCTCAGTAACAAATTTAACAATAAACATTAAAAGAATAGCCAAATCCAAACAGGTTCAAAAGTTTCATTAATGGTATGTAATGTTTCTGTGCTGTAATAGGTATTGTTTTACATACAATAATTAAATTATTCAAAAAAGTTAATTATGCTTATAAACATACTTCTATACAACTGTCTATAACCATGAACATAAAATGGTATTAAAAGTGCTTGAGTTATAACTCGAGCACTGGTACATCTAAACTCATCCATCAAAAAATTAGTGCATGATGTGCAAAAGGTTAGCCATCCCTGGTTTATGGCATCTAAAGTCTTAATCCAGCCCTGACTGCATGGAGAACATTTTGAAAGAAGATTTCTTAGATATGTAGGAATTATGCTACAATAAGAAAACTCTGTAGGATTTCGACAATGAAATAGATTACATCATCAAATATTTACTAATGCTAAGTCTGTATGTTTTATTGGAATTTTCTTATTAAAAATACACTCAACACAAAATTTTGGAAGATCTGTATTATCTCAGACAAATGAAACTCGACTGTATTTACATTTTCTTAAGAATGTATAAGACTGAATTATGTACTATAACAAATATATCAAAATTATCGGAGGTCCATATGCTTGGAGGTGTTACTCCACTGGACGATGTGGGTAAAAGAAGTGTTTGAGCAAAAGTCCCATTTCGATTCCACAGCTTTATATCATCGGAAATGGTGATGAACTGAGATCCATCAACAGCAAGGTAAATGCCACGTACTTGAGAGTCATGGTAACCTATTAATTTAGGTTCATCTTTACCTCCAAAATGCCACTGCTGCATGAAATGAAGAGAAAACTAGTAAATTAAAGTAATTAACATTTTCCCACCTAATTAACTAAAGGTTTACTTTTCTCAAGGCAAGAAATAAAATCTAAAACTACAATTATATTTTTAAACTTCAATAAGATTAAACAAAAATCAAATCATATTGGGGATAACTGATTATATTCAATTTGGTATGCTGAAAGTGATACTTCTAGTTAAAATTTTGAGGATCAATGCAAATGTTCTTAATCAGAGGTGGTATTCCAGATATGCAGCATGAATGCTTTGTTCCTATTTGAAATCTCAAATCTTCATGCTTATTTTGTCATTCAAAACTTTTGAAATCCTAGGAATTTAAATTACAGAACGTCCGCATTACAGCAGTATGGAAAATATAAGAGTCTCCTCTACTGATATTGATAGCTCAAAAAGTAATCTAAAAAATCCAAAGTAGCAACAAATCTCATGACGACACAATATGACCAAAATTATGAATACCTTTGGATAACAAGTGCATCCTCATGGCCAAACATGACAAGAATAGGGACAATAATTCATAATCAGAGCATAAATGTACAATTTTATCACCTAAGCACATACACTGGATTGCTCATGCCTAAATTGGCATGAATAACTACTAAACATAAAAAACATAAATTGATGCCTGTCTATCCTCTTATTTCTTTTTCAGAATGATCCATTTCTTGATAGATTTCTAATCTGTGGTGAGAAGTTACTGCTATGCAACACATCTAGATACCATCATCATTAATTAGCATCTCAGGAACTTGTTCACAAACAACATCATAAATTTATTTAAATAAAAAGAATATGTTCTTTGAATACTGGACTGCAAGAGGTACTGTGCATATTAAACTATAACCAGTGGGACAAATGGATCAATGCTATAGCATACTTTGAAAAGCTGGAATTGGTCAATAAAATGCTGAAAGCTACGATGTTTGCATTCATGACTTGGTGATGTTCTATTGCATGGATAATACAGTCAAATACCGAAAATTCGCCGACCTGAAATCTGCCAACTCCTGAAATCCACGTTGCCTCTCAAAATATAAACATTCAGTTTATAGGTTCCAGAAACCACAACATTGAGTACGAAATATTCAAGAAAAATATTTACTGAATAATGACTTCATAATTACCAAATAATAATGAGTCATAACGGAAATACCAAATTATTGACATCATGATAAAAGTTCCCCCCCCCTCCTCTAATCTGCATCGAGGTAAAAAAGCAGACGATTCACTCTTCTTTCAAGTTCATGTTTCACATTGTTGTATTTTCTAAACTTTGTTATTTCACGAGATTATTTGGTGCTGCCTTCTTTTTTTATTCGGATATTCTGGGGATAAATTAAGAATACTTTAAATTTCAGCCCTTTTTAATACAATCATCACACTCTTGCAACGTTGAAAAACGAACACGTTGCATTGACGGTAAGTGCAAATTCTGCAAAAGTAAAGCAGGTGCTACTCCTCGGTTTATAGCAGAGTCACATGCAATTGCGACATGATTGTGTATGATGTATGGGAAAATAAAGAAAAGCTGTTGAAATTGTATAGCAACAGTGATTCTAACATCAGAATCCGAAACGAGAAATCTTTGCATGAGGCGAAATCAACAAACCTCGATGCTGTGTACCTATAATAATATAATGAATAATATAATCAATTTATATATGTAATAATAATTTAACACATATAATAAGTTATTGCAATAATGTACATAATAATTTAATTAAATGCATCTAATACGTCTTATTTATTTTACACTTTTAGTCTGAATATTATGATTTATCTTTTCTGTCCTGAATTCCGCAAAGTCCTAAAATCCGCACAACCTCTGGTCCCAAGCTCTGTGAATTTCTGGACTTCTACTGTACAAAACCATGCAAGGCTAGATTGACATATGAGATGATCATCTGTCTTGATAATGAAACTTAGTGCACCTACCATATACATTATCAGATTACCTGCTCATTACAAAGCCTCTTTGCTCTCAAAGATTGCAGACCAAACCATTCATAATGTGAAAACTGTAGAAAACATATTCTTTTATTTTCTGTTCTAAGGAATTTTAATATAGTGGAACTTCTATTACCCTGAAAAGAAGATTTTTTTTTTTCCAGTGCAATTCATTTCAATGATGATGATTATTTTGGATGTTTCAGGCATCATTAACATTTCTGTGGACAATTTTGAACTATCAAGCCTAACTCTAAAGCTAACAATTTAGTAAATAAGACTATTCAATTTTTTTAGGAATTATTCAAAATGTACTTTCTTACACAAATACTTAAGTGGAAGAGGAAAAAAAATATACATACCGTGACAGCTCCAGAATCATCACCTGATATCAGCACGTAGCTGGAAAAGTAAAAGCGGCAACACCTAACAGCATCAGAACATTCTATGCTTTTATATAATTGTCCATTACTGGCATGCCAGACCTTTTGATTCATAGGCAATAAATACAAATAAAAATATGTTACTTAATTTAAAAAAATCAAACTGAATACATTTAAAACTGCAAAATTCTTTTACATACAAAAGATACAAACAGTTGCATATGTGAGGTTCCTCTAAAACTTTTAAAAATAATATACAGTCAAAAGTCGTTAATTCGGACACCCATAATCCGGAATGATCTATAATCCGGACCTCAAAGCTACAAACTTTCTGCGCATGCGTGGCGTTCACGCATGCGCACAGGCGTTTACGAGAGCGCATAAGACCCTTATGGCTGCGAATATGTTTGTGCGCATGCGCGCTTAATGTGTAACGGAGTTATACGCTAAGCTAAAATTATCTAATTCAGTTAATGTTGCAGATTGCGTTGTTCCTTAATCTTCGAATTGGATCCGGCTTATTATTTTTTGCAGACTGTTAGAGCAATTTTATAAAAGTAAGCTTGAACTTTCGATTATGTCAAATAGAATTTCCGATATATATTTACTACAAAGCGAAAGTATGTTTTGAAATCCAAAATCTGTTTATCAATTTCACGCTGCTCTGCGGCAGAGGGGGGGGGCAGAAACGTCATTATTAGATTATGATAGATTAGAAAGATTATGTCAAATAGAATTTCCGATATATATTTACTAATATGTAATTTGTATCTACAAAGCGAAAGTATGTTTTGAAATCCGAAATCTGTTTATCAATTTCAAGCTGCGGATTGGAAGTTGATCTGTCAGCACTATCCTTATCTTCAGGGCAGATGTTTTTATTTTATTTGGTTTATAATTCCGTACTAAGTGTAGTATTTCATCTCGATCTACTCCGTCTTTGATATGATTTAAATCAAGTTCCTCGTCATTATAATTCGCTTCCGATAGTCAAGAAAGTGACCCAGAGGTTATTGAAAACGAAAACATTTCGATTGACAAATTCGGTATTCTCAACACAGCAATTATAGGACTTGAACAGTGGAACTTTGTAACTAAACAAGAAATTATGTCGTTAATAGAATTAAAGAGAAAGTATTATCACATGAAACGAAGCAACTTACATTGAAGGAAATGTTTAATAAAGTTAACAAATAAATATTAAGCTTTTTCTTTTTGTAAATTTTGATACCCTTTAGATCATAATTATTCTTTATTTCATAAATTACGGTTTCATATTTTTAATTTCTGCACGTTATCTTACCAGATTTAAATTGATGATCTATAATCTGGAAAAATCGATAATCCGGAATCGCCGAAGTCCCGACGAGTCCGGATTAACGACTTTTGACTGTATAGAGTTTTCAAGAAAACTATACACAAGTTTCACTTTGTTAAATAAAGTACAGAATGACTAATTAGAGGCTTCTATAAAAATAACAACTACTTTTATATAGTTCTTGCAAAGCAAAACTTTCAATTGGTTAAATATTATGCTTTAACTTATTATGCTTTATGTTATTCTTCTAGCAATTAATAACTCCAGCATTACAGCTACCTTTGCTGAACATCCTGTATATTTTTACATATGAAGGAAAAATAGATCTCAAGAAGACTGTGAATGAGAACATTTGCAAAACACTGTCAGAACAATTAGTCAGGGAAAACAATTTTCCTCTGTTATGCCACACTATAATAATGCACGGAAGTTGTTCAAAAACTCGGAAAAACTGAAATTTAAACATCTAATGAGTGCTTAGAGAGAGCATTTGTTAGAGAAAAGAATGGCACAAATCAGTGGTCTCAAATTGTTAAACCTTTGGGCTGCATATGGTCCCCAAAGCAATTTTATGCAACCCACAAATATATTCTAGCTATTTGTTGTAAATACAATGCCAAAAGTTTCCAGATGGATAATGTTATGAAAAACAATAAACCATAAGTGAAAGAGCTCTGAATCATTAGGTTTGTTGTACTGCTTGAAGAAACTGAAAAGGAGAACAGAATTATTTAGTATAATGAGGTGAGGTAGTTAAGTAAAAGAGCTGTATTAAAATGCTTTTTTTTTTTAATTTAATAACTAAAATAACAAATTTCATGACATTAAATAAATAATAAAACCACAGAGGAGCTATATAATGCTAATGGATAATTAATTTAGCATTTCTTGTTGATTTAACCAGACATTTAAATAGTCTCAACAAATAACTGTATCGAAAGAATAAACTTATCATTGAAATGTATGCTTGTATTAAAACTTCTAAGGTTAAACTGCAATTATGGGAAACATCATCAGAAAATCAAACATCTAAATAAGAAAAATCTCTGGAATTAATTAATTTACAGTATGATACAAATGTCACAGACCAGCGGTTCTCAACCTTTTGACTAATGAGTACCATCTAAACAAAAACTGAAAAACTTTAGTACCACCACTACATTTTACAATAGTTATTTTTCAGTTTCTCAACAGAAATATTAAAAAAATATTTTGCCATTTGCACAACCTATTGGCTATTTGTATTAAATATGCCCACATAAAAATATTAAATAAAAAATTGGTTACCATTTTAATCATCAAAATTTAAGTTCTAATACTTTAATTTTAAAATTTAGTGTGCAATTTTAAGGGAGATCAGTTTCTTTATGTCTGGTCTTATTTCACTTATTTTAACCATAAATTAGGATTCATTTTTAATTTTGTTCCATATTTATTTTTCAAATGGTACATGGAAGAAACTCCTTGTTCACACAAATAGGTTGCACAAGAAGGCAATAAAAATTTAGTAGCTTTATTTGAAATACCTTTAAATTCTTTTTTCTGTTCAGCCAAAACTTGAGAAGTATGTTATTTTTGAAATCTTCAGCTAGTGTTTGATCACAGGAAATTTCTATCAATTGTTCTTTTTTTCCCTGAGAGAAAATTTTAGGTGCATTTGAACAAAATAGATTTCTAATCCAATCTTCTTTTTCATAATCTTTGGGAAAATGATTTATCAATGAAAAACAATGATTTTTAATGTCAGCGACTAATTCTTTTATGTTCAAATAATTTTTGTTTACAAAACTTTCTAAAAGTGATAAAAAGCTTAAAATATTACTATCCCATTCTTTGATTCTTAACTCGATTTTTTCATCATTGTATTTATTATATCTGTAATTTTAAACAAATTAACACATTGTCTTTGTAATCCTAAATTGAATTCATTTAACTTAATAAACAAATCAGCTAAATATGTTAAAAGCGGCAACCATAATTCACTAAATGACATTAAATAAATCACATTTCTACAATTCAGATTTTAAATCACAGAGGAAAATTGGAGTTTCTGATCGAAGCTCAAAAAGACGATTTAAAATTTCAAACACTTTACTTTAGAATGTAAAGCATTTGCATGTTCACTGCCCATCTCTTGGCATAAAATCGTAACTATTCTTGAATTTAATAAAATTAACAATTTTTACAGTTTGATTCAAAAAGATTTTCAAGTTTTTGGGGATTGCTTTGGCTACTAAATCTTCACAATGAATGGAGCTGTGAGTAAATTTAGTTTCAGGTGCAACTTTATCTTAGAAATAACATCGGAATGTTTTCCTGTTAAAGCCTGTGCTCTGTCACTGCATATGGCAATGCACTTATTCCAAGGGATACATTCTCAGACATAAAATTGTTAATTACTCTGAAAATTTCATTTGCAGTTGCTCTATCATGAAGAGATTCACAAAATGAATACTCTTCGGCAATTTGTTTATCATCTTTGAAAAGTATGTTAACAAATAATTGAACGAAGTTCATTATATTAATACTTTCACCAATTGCAATGCGAAATGCACTGTGTTTTATTTTTTGAATAAGTGTCTCGTTTATGGAATTTGACATTTCATGAATTCATTGACTTATTGTATCATTTGATAACGGAAATTCATTAGCTGCTTTTTCGTTGAATAATGTTAAAACGCTATCTTTAGCTGCTGGTAATATAATGTTTTCTCCAACAGTGTGAGTCTGCTTAGTCTCGGTAATTCTTAGGCTTACCAGATAACTAACTTCCGAAAATTTTCACTTAAAGTAATAAAACCTTTCATTACGTGTTTACTATTTTTTATACCACACACCACGAACAACTGACTCAACACAAACAACACATTCCACTTGAGGGTCTATTTCATCTCCATTCCAAGTAAATGCAAATGATAAATAAATAGCTCATTATATTTTCTATAAACAATTATTCTATTCTTTTCATTATTCTTAATGCTAGTAGATTATCCTGGATCTATCACCTGCGAATCATCAGTTTTCTGCTAAGTCAATCTTAGCCATTTTTCCATTTTGAAAATCTAGGTTTATTTTATTATTTTTTCACAAATGTTTAAATGCACAATATATTATCAGTTCTTCGAAAACAATGATGCTATTCTCAAATTGCATTGAAAAGTAAGGAACACAAAGCAACAAGACAAAATACCTGCTGTTTGAGACAGCAAATTGATGTAAAAAATTATTCTAATTTTAAGTAGAGCAACATGAGCCCGGAAATGGTGGTGACATAAAATGCTGACATGCTAATAAATCAATCAACTCTAAAAGAATTAATGAGATACTATTATCTTTTTATAGAAACTTATTTTTATTTCCTATTGTGATAAGGTGGCATAAAGGTTCTTTGTCTAGGATGAGTGATTTCAGAGTTTAAGAAACAATTTGAGAAAGTTAGGGAACGGTATGTAAATTCCAATGGCAGTTTTAATCAGAAAAGTAGTGGTCATCAAAGAATTAAATTGGAAAAGCATAGGAAAGTGGAGGATTCTAAAAAAGAGCAGGTTTCAAGGAAGCACGTTTCGAGAAACGGCGGAAAATTAGATGTTACCAATGTGGAAAGGATGGGCATATCCGACCTAACTGTTCATTGCTGGAAAAGAATAAGTCTAATCTGGTGAATAATTTAGGAATGGAGAGTTTAGGGAAGTGTTTTGAGAACGGGAATAGATCTGTGTAATAGTATTTGGATTAATACTAGTGACTTATTAGGGGAAACTCTATGGGTGAAACAGACTTTAGA